GTTGGTATATTACGTTTCGATTAACGATAACTTATTAGTATGATTTTGTCACTTTATACGAGGTTTGTTCAAAAAGCATCGTTAATTTTGAATTTCCATGTATGTATATATATATTCGATTTTCGATTTTTTTGTGGCGTTATGTTGGTACTCACGTCTCTCACTTATACCGACAAGTTCGGCCATGTTGAATGTTCAGTTAATTTTTAACAGCTGCTTTGCTTGCACCTATATTGACTCGTCTTCGGTTTTTACCTATTCCAAAAAATGGATCAAAGAATCTGTATCAAATTTTGCATTAAAAACAAAACGGACGCATTCCTAATGTTGACTCTGGTATATCGTGAAGCTACGTTTATCGGTGGTACAAAATGTTCTCAGAGAAGATGTGAACGACGAAGAGCGTGCTGGACGCCTGAGCACGTCAACAATAGACGAAAACATTGATGAAGTGAAGAAAATAGTATTGGCCAATCGTCGAATTACCGTTAGAGACGGGTCTCCGCGGAATTCGTACCAAAATTGCTTAATTTCGACCAAAAACAGCATCGAATTAACATTGCTAAGGAGCTGTTGGATTCTGTCCACGACGACTCAAATTTGCTCCAGAGGGTCATAACTGGTAACGAATCATGGGTTTATGGTTATGACGTGGAAACCAAAGCTTAGGTAATCATCCCAATGGTAGTTGCTGCACGAGCAAAGACCAAAAAAAGCGCGCCAAGTTAGGTCAATGTGAAGGTTTTTCTTACAGTTTTCTTCGATTGCAGGGGCGTGGTGCATCATGAGTTCTTACCACAGGTTAGAACGGTCAATAAGGAATATTACCTGCAAGTTATGCGCAATTTGCGGGAAGCAATCCGCTAAAAACGCTTGGATGTATGGAAGAACAAGAATTGACTTTTGCACCATGATAACGCCTACATCGGTGCTTGTGCGCGAATTTTTGGCCAAAAACAACTAATAATGCCGTAGCCACCGTGTTCCCCGATCTGGGCCCTGTGACTTTTTCTTGTTCCCGAAACTGAAGAGGCTACAATTGAGGAGATAAAGACGGTATCGAAGGAGGAGCTGAATAAGATCACAAAAAATGATTTTTTGAAGTGCTTCGAGGATTGCAAGAAACGTTGGCATAAGTGTATAATACCTGGTGGGGATTACTTTGAAGGGGACAAAACAGATATTCATGAATAAATAAATAATTACAAAAAAAACACAAAATTCGCGATACTTTTTGAACAGATCTTGTAGACTTTTAGTGTTTATAAACATTATAGGCTCATTTCAACAGTTTCAATTCAACCCTCTGGTTAAAAATCCGCCAACAATGAATTAAAATTTCATTGGTTTAGTGTTTATTAAACGACTTTTTGTACTGGACTTAATGATCTGTGTATGACTTGGTAAGGGTTGCATTTAATAGAAACCTCGCCAGAACGTACACGTGAACCATTAACCGTGATGGTTTTGCCGAGTATCCGGCACAGCTAATGCCGCGTACACGGTTATCCGGTACTAGGTAAAATCACTATCCGCCGCATCTTTAATCAAGGCACATAATCGTTCTTCTACACGACTTCTCTTGGGTTTCTATATACGACTACTTGTAATTTATACACCTGCATATAATTTCTATAATTGATATCATTTTTTTTAAATAAATAAATCGCTAATTATAGTAACTATCNGTTGTACTGTCTTTAATGATGTTGATGGCGTCTTCGGTGTATAGATTAAAAAGTAGCGGTGACAGTGTGCATCCCTGTCTTACTCCCTTCCTAATATTTACTTCTCTACGTTGCATCCCTAGCTCTATAACTGCCTGTTGCTCTTTATATAAACTAAGTATAAAGATTATAAGATAAGTCAGGACGGAAGGAGGAGTACGGATATAAAGCAGAGGATAGCGCAGGGTCGAGTCGCCTTCAATAAAAAGAAGTTATTTCTATGCTCGTGAAAAATTAATTTAGAAATTCGAAAAAGATTGTTAAGGATGTATGTTTGGAGAGTGACGCTGTACGGGTGCGAAACATGGACGGTGGGCGTGGTGTAAAAGAAAAGGTTAGAAGCGTTCAAAATGTGGTGTTACCGGCGAATGATGGGGTTGCCGTGGATAGAGAAGGTTGAAAATGAAAGAGTATTAGAAAGAAGAGGAGAACAGAGGACTCTATGGAAATCATTAAAAAATAAGTGAGATAGGTTGGTAGGACTCCTTCTCAGGCATGAAGGTCTAGTCAGAGACATATTAGAGATGTGGGTATTCTAGTTTTAGGGAAACGCGAAGATTAGCTCAGGATAGGAAGGAGTGGATGGGCGTGTCCAAACAGTCTTAAGACTGACGACCTTATGATGATGAATACAATTTGCCACTAAGAAGAAACATTTTTTCAATTATTTGCGAAATTGTTAGGAAAATTCAAATTTNGCCGTAGCATAATTCCAAATTCAATCATATTTGTCTGCGGAGCTCATTTCTCCACCCATTTATCGAGTGAGAACTGGACAAAAGTATACAGTACCATTTGCAAAATTATTTAAGAGTGCCTCGTTAAAATTTAAGAATATGCTTTATTTAAAAGCATATTTATCCAAAAATAATAACAAGTGAATTAACTTAACGTTTTACACACTTATAAAACTTTTGCTTTGTTTTCTATTGTTAATTTATATGCATTTTTGTTTTAAGAAATTGCTAAACATTTTCGTCTACTACTGTACAGTTCTAGCCGATCTCCTAAGACCGCCCATCGAGAGTTCTGCTCGTTCAAGCTTGTTCCAACTATTTCTGTCTTGCTCATGCCTAGTGTGTATTATTTCTATCTTCGCGCAGATTTCTTCAAGGTCACAATTCTAACAAATTGAAATAGACTGTACATCCAGTGTATTGTAAAATGTTATTTCACACAACCATGACGGGGTGGTCATATTTGATCGAAATCAGTTGAAGTAGAGAACGGAATATGAACAGCTTTGACTAAAATAATAGGAAACGTCTGAATCAACATGTCCCTGTTCATTCTTTGGAATTCACTCATATACCGAGCGGCGTGGTTTAGCATTCGGGAGGACACAGGTTCGATTCCGGTCTGCTTACTCTGGTCCAAAGCTTTTCTGTGGTTTCCCTGGATTATTTAGGCAAATGTAGATTCCACAGACAATCCTTCATTTATCTCCTAATGTCTTCATTTCGTCTATCTCACCTGTTTCTACTTCCAACGACAATCCCAAGTCCCAAAACCGAGGGCCTTTCGTTTTATCTTCTTGTCGTGTACTAGTAACTGGTGTGTGGGTTACAGGGACTGCCTGTCATCAGCGTTAGTAGCTGGTGGTAGTGAAACACGCTAAAGTTTTTTACAAGGCACAAAAATCTTAACTAAACACTAGCGGCTAGTGTGTTTTTCTGGATTTGGAAAACATGGTTCCAGCCAGTTACAGTGACTTTACTCAGCTTCAAAGCGTGAAGCATGTAGTCACCTTTTCTAACAAGATACAGATTTCAAAAACACATTTAGGTTTTGAATAGACCCGCAAAGATGTTTGTAACGTAGTAACGAGGAAGCATTAACTGGTCTAACTAAAACAGCAGTGGACTTTGATCAATTAGAAAACATTTGATGTAAATTACATCCCTTATGAATAGACGAAGTTATAATTGATGCTCAACGCTAGGCGAATTACGATTGAAAATACTGTTAGCAAGAAACGAAATTTATTGAAATTACCACGAAACGTGAATTGTGATGTAGATCTTACATGATCTCACCAGCGATAAATTAATAATAAGATCGAAATCGCGATTCGCATCTGACGATTTTTATAAATTTCTAACCAGGAACTTAATAAATAGGAAGGTCTTTTCTAATTAAATAAAATAGTACTTTAGTAGCAGCAAATACCCATTAGATGGCGATACACTGTCAGTACTTGGACAAAAAGCAATCCTAACCTAACATTATTATTTGTTAGTAAACCTGGCGATTAACAATGATACTACATGAAGCGTGACCATTGTTAATAATCGTCATTATAGACTCCAACTCATAATCATCGCTGGTAGTGGGATGGGTAACTAAACACATGGTGTCAAAACCAATGTTTGGGAGGTTCATAAGTAGGTACATTTTATTAATATGAAAAGCAATTCCTATTACAAATGTGGATTAGCTTCACGACCTTTATTGGTTAAAGAAAAATAGCGTCGATTNGGTTTTATCATTTCATTAAATTCGTGTTCGAATTGTAATTAAAATTTAATAGCATCTCTTTGTCGCGGGTTAATTCAAATAAAATTATATATTCAACGATAATTTGAAAAGGTTCCAATGTCTACATCTCAAGTCATTAATTTGCTTTTGCTTTAGTTAATTTGTAAAGTTTCAGTGTTACTCCAGATACATTTTTTGCCGCAAAAGTTACTACAAGAGGGTGAATAGACGCTAAAGTTCCGAAATCCTAAAATTAACGATAACAGTTTGTGTCAGATACACGCCTTAACCAGAAATATTAAAATTTCCTTGTTTATTAAAAGTTATATTTTTATGTATAATGATTATTATTAAATAAAATTTGTTTCTCTGAATGCAATTCTAGTATCTCATTTGTTTCTTTTCGAAATAATGTACATTTAATGTTTCTGATATTTACGCATTTATACATAAAAATAAAATTGAAGTGACCAACATCAAAATAACTGCCCTTTTTAAGTCTCTTGTGGTTAGATGTGTGTTACTAAGAAACAAACGTCCTTAAGAAGTGATCTTTGCTGTTTCGTCTGGTTCTAGGTATCATTAGTATCATGATTTGTATCACCGTTTGTGATTAGTTGGTAAATCAAGAAAAACCAACAACCGGGACGCGAGCTTTAGATAGAAGATAGATACTGCCCAAAACGGCAAAGGAAGTGGTTGACGTGACGGGCGTAGAAGAAGAGAAATAACAAAATGGTGCAGTAATATAAGAGCACCTGTTAGTTTTTAGAATTGGCGCATGGAGAGTAAGTTGCGTCGCGGCGCGTCGTGTCGACTAGGTGACAGGCATCCGTTTGCATTCCTTTTGCGTCTATACGTAGTTACCAGGTCAGTCCAGTTCCGAAAACGTTGCCGAGAGCGGGTAGTTGGTCGCGTCGGTCGCGTCGTAAAGCACCTCCTGAGATCGCGTTCTCGTCATCCGAATCGGGTCGCGCTTTTTCCAACTTTACGTCCGTGATTATATTTATTTTTTCTTAGTGAAATGCGATAATTGATTAACGAAAATTTGATTTCTGGTACTTATCGAAACATTTATCGATAATTATTTTAATTTAGTTTAACTGCTTGAGTGTTATTTTATCGTTAGCAAGACTTAAAATAATCATGCGACAATAGCATGGAAAGAGGTAATAAGTTCGATTTCTCATAAAATTATAATTATATTAAATCAATCTATAATGATTTTATTAACCCCAGTTATTAATAAACGACACTTAAAGGTATCTTATAGTAAAAATATAAATTACCTTAACCTAAACAATTAGTTAGTTAGAAAATTGGATACTGTAAAATTATCTTACGTTAACGAATTTAAACTCCTTTTGCTTCGTACGGGTAATTGACCGTTTTGTCGTTAGAAAGAGAATCTGATAAACTTCTAGGCGGATAATTACACTTTCTGACTTTTCTGGTTCACGTAATTTTTTCTACGATTTGTCGACAATTAATAATCATTTGGTAATAATTTCTTATCTATAAGATTTTAAAATTATCACACAATTTACAATTTCAAAACATTAAAAATTATCTACACGCTGCGCTTGCTAATTAAATGAATTAATTTATTGAAATCGAAAATTTTATTGTAATCACGTGTTATTCAGTTATTTTTAGTTTATAAATTCAGGAAATATTTTAATACAATTTTTCATTCATATGCCAATAACCATCGAATATCTGATTCATCAAACATTTATTTTTAACCACAATTTGTAAATTATAAGAATAAAAATAATTATTACAAAGAATAGCAATTAATATTTTGAAGACTTCTTAATTTTATCCTTAGTTATAATGTGGATACGAAGATGTTCACAAAGGTAGGAAATTGAATTGTAGATGGAATGTTAGATTAAACGGACAATAATGCGCTGAGTTAGGGGAGGAAATAGCATTTTCTTATAGGGGCTATTTCATTTTAAAGTAACGTAAATATAAATCGTTTGATACTATTCCTGCAACTCAGACGAACTTGACATCATTGGTAGAAATAGCGCTTTAATGTGTTGCTAAACTATTTATTGAATTATTTATAGCTTTTGCGGAACTGAGAATTATTTGTAACTAACTAATGTTTGAGATGATTAAAAGTGCTTGAATGAAATTCAATTATTTTACAATGCTATGAATGGTTTTCATTGAAATGTATGAAAGGGTACATAGATGATTAAAATTGAAGGAAATTACAAAAAATGTTTAGTTTCCTAAAATTTTGAAAATTATACGGAAATTATGGATTGAAGAATTTAATATTAAAACTAACTATGGATGTGTTTGAATTAAAAATGTTTTAAATTTGTTTTTTGGACTGTAAAGTCAATACAGTACTTAGCACCGTTTGTACTTTGTAGGTAATTTTTTAGTCCAAACAATTGTTGATTGTTTAATTAAATATTATACATAATTTGTTGAAACAATCTATAGTTTTACTGTATTCTTTTAAGAATGTTATGTGATATATTCTGCTGTAATTTCATTTCTTTAATTATCAGATTATTTACGCATTTGAAGAATTTTATGAGACAAAAAAGCTTAGTGGTGAGATTCTACTAAATTTCAATTTATTTAAATTATTTATTGTAGATACTATGTACGTGTTATAAATAATTTACCTTTAATTGAGTACAGTAATAAATAGAAAAAATATAAAAATTAATGCAGCAACATCGCATCTTTAAAGTTAAAAACATCTTTTTTCAATGATTCTAATCTTTTCTTGAAGAAAATCGATAGTAGTGACTAAATAATGCAACTTGAAGAATTTCCCACTATTCATCGATTTGCAACTGCAACAAACGTCCCCAAATGGTGCCAAAACCATTCTTATCGTGAAGGTCACGATAACACTGGATTTGGCTAAATATTATTGCTTCACACAATAAATGAAGATTCTACTTTTGCTTTAATATTTTGGAAAAAGTAGCTTTTTTTGTAGTTATTAATGCCGCTAAAACTTAATCCCGATTAAATAAATGGTTGATCAACAATTTGTTAATAAAAAAAAATGTAAATTTCATAATCTACCAAATGTTAATTATTGATCCATTGTGATCTATACTCACACAGAATATGTATTTAGCGCACTTGTATCATGTACAATCATTAAAACTACCTATATTAACGTTATTTTTGGCAATTTGTTTGCAAAATAGATTTTATTGTTCTCAAACTAAAAGTTTTTTAATATCCTTCCATAATCTTTTTATAAAAAAAATTAAAATTAGAAAGACCTTTAATTTAAATAGAGTATAATAATTCCCTTTATCAAAATTTGCTCTAATATAAGGATACAAGAAATTTTGTAAAACAACAATACTTAGCAGTAATTATTCTCGCATTTGTTGAAATCCTTTAGATGGATAATTTTTGAGATTCTCTGGAAATTAGCATTAAAAATTTAGCCGACTTATAAAAAGTACACATGAATATTCTATTTTAGATTTTAATAAAAGAATGGTACTGTAGAAAACAATGAATAATAAGATGCATTTTCAAGAAAATGTTTAGGTCTTTTGTTCCTTTTCAATGTTATCCGTCATTATAAGAGTATTCACAGGCATTTGCGAAAGAATTATTCAGTAAACATGAAACTTTGAATACGAGAACTGCAGAATGTCTATTTTTGTATGTAGGTATATTTTTTACGTTATTCTTCTCCATATTCAATGCGCTGTCACAATGTTGCAAATTCTTTTATGCTGTAGCGATAACCTAATTTTTTTATACGTAAGATGGGTAAAGTTAACATCAAAACTAAATAATTGTAAATTTTATTACTTGATGGAAATCCGTCATAACACAAAATATATTTTTTTAGATTATTTAGTAATTGTAACGAATGTTTCGTAATAATTGCCTTCTTCAGAGGTGATTATCAAAATTCATATTACGGATATCTTTAAGGAGGGTATATAAAATTAGGGATTACGGTCACAAATTATAACGATCACTAATGTTTTGTGTAAGTTATTAACACGTTCTGTTAATAAAAAAAATTGTGAATATTCAAGTCTATAGGATTTTTTTTAATAAACCAGTGTTTATATTAATGTCTTGTTTAATTTAGGTATCAAATACTAGTTTAATTTTTTCGTTTATTAAAAGTTTGACCTAATAGTATTACGTGTTTTTCTTGTTATTCGTAGTCGATATAGTGAAATAATCGAACATTAATCACTCCCACAACTACATAAACTATTTAAAATACATATAAAAGATAAATACAAACAATTTGTATTTTATTCCTTTTAATGTAGATAATGCGCTAAATGCGTTTCTGGTGTAATTAATGAAAAAATGTTTTCATTATCCATATTATCAAAAAAAAGAAATCATAACTGTAGCGTTTTCCGACTACACGAAAGAAAAACGGTTTGAGCAGATATTCCATTTTTTTCTTTTTTCTTTATTTATTTAAGATCCGTAATGAATAAAGTGCTTAAGAAAAAATAAAAGTTGAAAAGTTAATTCTTCAAATTATTAAAAGTGGAAATTTATTACTAAAAACGGTGAAAAATGAGTTCCGATGCATAAGGTTATTTAAATTTTAACTTCGTTAGAATCTGTTTTCATTTTATCGTTGCCAATTAAAAAGTTTAAATTATTATTGATTTCTATAAAATTTGTTGTCATTTCACTGTAAATGAAAAATTTGGGATATCCTGACTGTTAAAATTCAAACAATGTTTTCTTTTCTAGAGAAGCGATCCAAAAATTATAATCAATACTTTTATGTTAAGTAACTTGAACTTGAAGACATTATAAATACTACTTAGATAATAATTATAAATTATTATACATTAGTTAATTTTAATCTAATGATGGTCGAATAAACTGAAACGTTAAACAGAAATTTTATGAACGCCGTCCTGGTGCTACAACGATGAAGATAGAAATGAGGAAGTATTAGAAAGTGTAGGGGAACAGTGGGCGCTATGGAAGATAATAAGAAATAGATGATATAGGTTAGTCCTTCTTCTTCTTAGGCTTTAAGGGCCAGTTAGAAACATCTCAGAAGTAGAAATAGGAGTTAAGAGGAGTAGAGATAGATCTAGATTAGATTAAGGTTTACAAATAGTTAAAGATGTGCGATGTTCTAGTTTTAGGAAAATGCGAAGATTAGCTCAGGATAGGAAGGAGTGGAGGTGCGTGTCCAACCAGTCTTAGGACTGGCGACCTTATGATGCGATGATTAGCTTAGGAGCGAAGGTAGAAAAACCATTAAGCGTAAATGAAAATTTCATCGGACTACTTTAAATGCTATTTATTAATTAATTCAGTATTGAAAGAACATTAAGAAATAAATGTCTCAAACTGAAACATTTCTGGAAGGAAATCAAAAGCGCGAAATTAAAAATTTAGTTTGAACAGATTCTAACCTTACTTTTTTTTTCAGGTCCGCTACATTTACGAACGAAGGAGTATTTTGACGAGTTAATAACTGATTTTTGGTTACATTTCTTGAACGTTTAAGCCGCTACGTTACATCAGCAGAGAAATTAGTTTACCGCGAGTTCTATTTATATGACGGGCGCGTTCTAATAACCGACCGCAAGTTATAAAATTAGCCGTCGTGTCCTAGTCCGCATGTTTGCAAATCGGAATAACGAAAAAGAACAGCAGACTAAAGTGAACATAATATGACGTTTCGTTTTATAAACATCACATGAAACCTTCGTTCAACGTTAATTCGCTCAACTCAATTACCGGAAAGAAAAAAGAATGACCGGAAGCGCCGTCGCAGGTGTCATCATCCATTTGATCCTCCTAACCACCTGCTTTAGTCTCACAGGTAAGCAAGCATTCCAGCTGTCGCGTGTTCCTTTTGTTATGGGTATGGTGGCATAAAGAAATAAAGGCACAAATTACACCCATTTGTAAAGGGGTTCAGTTTTCTTCGGTATTATTTTTCGATCGGCTAAGTACATGAGGGATTAACAATGATAAATACTGAGCGAGAAAGATGAAGCGGTACTAGGGTTGTTATTAATTCGGTAATTAAAAGGAAGGCTACTTTGGGCATTATCTAGGAACAATAATAGGAAGAACGAATAAAAAGCGATAGTTGTGTGTTGTGTAAAAAATATTATTCACTCACCTTTTTATTTGAAATAATATAAAAATGAACAGGGCGGAAGACATTTGCAGACAGTGTCAATAATGAAAGATTTTCGAGTGCGAATCTCCTTCAATGCTGGAGCAATACTGACGTTGAGATGGTAGTCCCGCAGTCCATTTTATTAGAGTAAATAAAAGAAACAAAGCCGTAGGTAGGGAGAAAACAAAGAGCTTAAAAGAATTTATGCTAGTAGAAAAGAAGAGGGTCCTAAAATAATAAACAAAATATGAACTCAAGTGCATGTTTTGGTTTTTCGCAATTATTTGAGTTTTTTCATTTTGTAAAACTTGAGAAAGAATGAAACACAATTTTGTTGATCTATTTCACCAGACAGTAGTTTGTTTAAGTGGAAAAGATATCATCATCATAAAGTCGTCAGTCCTAAGACTGGTTGGACACGTACCTCCACTCTTTCCTATCCTGAGCCAAACTTCGCACTTCCCTAAAACTAGAACAGCCCACATCCTTAACTATTTGCGAACAGTAATCTAATCTAAGTCTACCTCTACCCCTCCTAACTCCCGTTTCTGCCTCTAATATGTCTCTGACTAGACCTTCATGCCTGAGAAGGTGTCCTATCAACCAATCTCGCCTATTTTTTATTGATTCTTATCTTTCGGTGCTTAAACTTAAAAGGCAAAAAGACAACAGATAAAAGAGTGCAATCTAATATTTTGAAGGATTGAAATATCAAAATTTTTTACAGTTCTATTGCTTAATCTTATTGTTATGACGTGCAGGAACTTACAATATATCACGAATGCAATGATATGCGATTATGGAAAAGAAGAAAATAACTTTAAGTTTAATGTTTTCAATATATGTAACTTTCAAGCGTCTAATAATACCAGAAGTATAGAAGGCAACATAAATTAATGACAATGATGATAGCTTTTCTTTAGTTTTCTTTATTTTAAAGGTTTCTGGTTTGGTATTACTCATACTAATTGTATAATTTTTTGTTTTATTTGTTGACAACATTGCCAAAAAAAGAGTGATTCATAAATACAGTTTAGACAATACAAATAGCTGTTTAATTGTTGAATGAATTTGTTATGTTCACTTGCAATTGAAAGACAAAACAAATTTATCAAAAACTGGTCATTATTGTATTATAAAACTATCAGTGTATGAAGAGTGGTCGTAAAAAAGTTATTAGTGAATTCCACAATTAATGGGATTATCCAAACTTGCCATTTTTGACAAATCACGCGATTTTTCCATGTCAAACTCGAAAACAAGCTCGGGAAAACATCTGACAAATAGGTGTTCGTTGAAACTTTACTCCAAATTTCATCAGCTATTCTTCTTCAAAATTACTCTCATTTGCTTTTACCGAGATTCTTGCGGCTTACCTTTTTTCTTTCGTTCTTTGAGGGAGTGTATTTTCGTCATATCTACAATTTCAAAGAATGTAAGAAAAGAGCCCTTATTAGATTCTCTTTTAAAGAGAGGAATTCCAGGAATTTACATTATGTTAAAATACAGGAATATTTAAACGTATGAACACAAAAATTATTCATGTTGAATAGCGGTATACATACAAGGTTACTGCCGGAATTGTAGAACGTACACGTTTAGTACTCTTTAGAGCGAACTAAACACTGAGTTTTACTCTAGTAGGTATTACAATGAAAATAATGATTATGGTAAAGGTCTAGATCAGTGTTTCCCAACCTTTTTTTCTTCGCGAACTAAAAGGAAGGTCCGAAAAATTTGACGAACCCCCTATGTAGTCGTTAATGACAGGTAAAAAAAGGCAATAAAATTTGATAGAATATATATTTTTCATATTGCAGCATAATTGATTTATATTAATCGTAAAACATTTAAATAATCGTCATTATAGACTCCAACTCATAATCATCGCTGGTAGTGGGATGGGTAACTAAACACATGGTGTCAAAACCAATGTTTGGGAGGTTCATAAGTAGGTACATTTTATTAATATGAAAAGCAATTCCTATTACAAATGTGGATTAGCTTCACGACCTTTATTGGTTAAAGAAAAATAGCGTCGATTACAGCTATCCGGTAATCTCATTATCTGAAAGAGATACGTTCGATTCCATTGGGGATTAACATTAGGTATTGGATTGGATTTTAATTCCATCGCATGGTATCGAGGATTTAATACATAACGAAGCGGGCCGAAAAGCGGTGGTAGAAAACGGCAAAGGAAGTGGTTGACGTGACGGGCGTAGAAGAAGAGAAATAACAAAATGGTGCAGTAATATAAGAGCACCTGTTAGTTTTTAGAATTGGCGCATGGAGAGTAAGTTGCGTCGCGGCGCGTCGTGTCGACTAGGTGACAGGCATCCGTTTGCATTCCTTTTGCGTCTATACGTAGTTACCAGGTCAGTCCAGTTCCGAAAACGTTGCCGAGAGCGGGTAGTTGGTCGCGTCGGTCGCGTCGTAAAGCACCTCCTGAGATCGCGTTCTCGTCATCCGAATCGGGTCGCGCTTTTTCCAACTTTACGTCCGTGATTATATTTATTTTTTCTTAGTGAAATGCGATAATTGATTAACGAAAATTTGATTTCTGGTACTTATCGAAACATTTATCGATAATTATTTTAATTTAGTTTAACTGCTTGAGTGTTATTTTATCGTTAGCAAGACTTAAAATAATCATGCGACAATAGCATGGAAAGAGGTAATAAGTTCGATTTCTCATAAAATTATANCCCTACCCCCACCCCTTCGGAGGTGGGGAGCCATCATCTAACCCCCACAACTGTTCATGAACGCCATGAACTTTTTATGGTACAGTGGTGGGGGAGACCTCCTCTTTCGATCTCACCATCATCTAGACCTTTACTATGATTATTATTTTAATAATTATGTATTATGTTTATTATCAGTAATGTATCGAAACGAGAATCGTGATTTCGGTCTTATTTGATAAATATTGAGAGAGTTTTGTGAAAGGTTGAGGCAAATCATTAACGTCCCAGTCGTAGAGAAGTTATTGTACCTAATGAGTCTGAAAATCAAAATTGGAGTTTTCAACATTCTCTGCAATTTGCTGGTCACATAACATTGCAACATAATTTGGAGAAATATGGGCGTGTGTGTCTGGAGATAAGTACTACGTTGTTGCACGATATCTCGTAAATGAAAAATGATGTCAATTTTCTTATTTGCTTCAACACGATCTGAATGAAATTTAACAACATTCGGTCAAGATTTTTTTCTTACAAAAGAAAATTAGATTAGGGAATTTGTTTATTTATTTATTGAAACCCAAGAAAAATATAAAAGCAAATGGGGATTTGAAGTATCACTTTACAATTGTTTAGTTCCACAAAACTCGGTACTAGGCCCGTTGTTGTTTCTATTATCTATATATAAATTCATTATTTATTGTTAGTTAACTTAATGATGNAATAAGGTTTCAAGTGATCAATACATTCAATTTGTTTAAGTAATAACAACTTGCAAACTTTTACAAAAATGAATTAAAAAAGAAACGAGTTTTACTTCCTTACAAAGTAGCTTTAAGTCTAATTACGTTTTTACACTGTATGAAGTACCTATTTATGTACTGTATCCAGTCTCTGAACGAGAGACTCGAGTCGCTCATAGAGAGATCCTTATTTCGTATCCAGTCTCTGAACGAGATACTCGAATCTCTGAATTAACAATTTTATCGTTCGAGTCTCTCATACAAAGACTGTGAGAGATCCATAAAAACACCAAGGTAATAGAGAGACTGTGAAAGACTGTCAGAGACGCTGAAAGACTCTGAGAGACTGGAGAGAGACTGAAAATTTTTGTATAGGGAAGCTACCTCGAAAATGACTCAAATTATAGGCGAAACGTCGGTATTGATGTAGATTATTACACACAATAATTAGTTTTGTTAAGTTTTTTAGTAGTTTATTTTATATTTTACCTGGTACCAAATCAAGTAGGTAATTAACTAGAACTCATGCTATCTATTCAACGTTATCATAATCAAGAAAGACAATAACTTGAAGTGTTGATTTTCTAAATCGTATGATAACGTTTAGAATAAATTTTTGGTAATTTTTTTCCAAAGGAGCATTTTTTCGGACGCTCTTTTTCCGGAGCTTTTTTCCGAGGCTTTTTCCCAGATTCACTTTTTTCCTTTGAAACAGTTTTACCTTNAAATTTATTATTTAATTTTATGTTGGGAAGCTGTCCGTGTAGACCTCAGGGGTCATACCTTTTTTTATAATAGTCTAGTACTGATTATCCTGCTTCAATGAGAACACCGATGGAGTTATTTCTTCGATCTTTTACCAACAGTTGTGGTTGGCGTCCTCAGGGAATGGAGCGAGGTACTAATGTCCTTTGCTAGATTGAAGGTCATTACTGTTTTCCGTACAGATTTTTAAAGAATCACTCATAAAAGATCAGTTATTCGATCGGTACTGGTGAACAATGATTGCGGGAATTTCCGAGCGAAGAAATGCATTAGTTGTACAACTGAGAGACAATAGATCATTGTGATCCGCAATTTTCATGTATTAGAAATACCTAGTAGGTATTCTGACATAAGAAAAGCGCCTGAACAACTTATCACAGAGATTGTCTTGTAAGAACAAACTATATATCCATTCCCAGGTAATAGAATTTTAATGGTTCTTAAATACAATGGATTTCTATTGCGGGAAAAATCCTTCAATTTTTATTCTACCGCCTTT